CCAACAAATACAATGGAAAGGAAAAATTACAAGAATGAAAATGAGCCCAATATTGGGTACCAAAAGCCCAAAGGCCCATGAAGCCCAAAACTAGGCCCAACAAGCCTAAAACCTAAAATGCTACTCTATGTGGTCCAAAATACAAGACCAAAATATATTCATACTATACTAACAAAAATATAATAAGAATGTTAAAAACAAGATAAGCCCATGTTGAAACTTGGTTTGGGCCTTCCAAGCCCATAGGGCCCGTTGGGCCTAGACTGGCCCAATCTTCCATGTCTAGCCCACTCCTCTTGGATCTTTGAGTGTGTCACCTCTTGCATTCCCAAGTATGATTCCATCAATCTAGGTGAACCATAGTTTTAGTGTAGTGTAATTTTTATAAATTCAATTCAGTTTAGTTTATTTTTTTTTTCCAAACCTATTACACTAGTATACACTTATACATTCGTACATTTGGATAAACATGTAAATTTAAAATCAAAATTTTGTATTTATGTTATTAAAAGAAAACAATGTAACAATACAAAAGGGTGACCAAACACCCTATAAAACTTCAAAAGAAGCTTAAACAAAATATTCTAATCTCCACTCAGAAGTTTTAAATCCAACTAAGAGGAAATTATTAACTAAATATCCTAAATTAATTAGTGGAAATAAATACTCTATGTATCTCCTCAACCTGCATTATTTGTCACATTTAAACTTAAACTAATAAAACTCTCATCTTAGCGAGTGTTCTAGGGTCACACACAAAAAAAAAAAAGAAAAAAAAAGATACATGTGATACATAAAACTTTAATAATTAATAATAAAAAATCTAAGTAGTAAAATAATAAATAATATAAAGTCTTTCTTTTTAAACATCTTGTCTTTTTTGTCTTAATGGCGAGATTTGAGTTCATAATCTTAAAGAACGTCTTTCTTGTATTATCATACAATCTTACAACTTTTCCTTAGAGAATATTAACACTATCCTTTGAAGTTTGAGGGAGACAAATATCCTTGTCTTTTTAAATAAGATGTTCTGTTTTAAAAAAAATTCTATTTAACTTTAGTCATCCTTTGAAAATGGAAGGAGTTGTTACCCTTCCCTTGTCACATCTATATAAAAAAATTTAATGAGAAATTGTACTTATTCTTTCTATAGGAATGTAAAGAAAGAGACATAAGAAAGACATATGAAACATACAACGGTAATGATACAATAATAATGAAAAGTATTTTCTTTTTTCTAAACTATAGTATAACATATTCACAGCCATAAGAAACAAAATTAATGTTAAATTCGACAATTTGAGTAAAAGATGTGTAAGGGTATACCGTACGTAACATGTATGAGGAGATGGAAGTATTCAAAGAGTGAGAGATTGAGTGTTCCTATTCTTGTCCGTCTCTAACTCTTTATTATTAGATTCTTTAATGGGTCATTTTCTTAATGGACCTTTCCATCTCTCCTATTAACAAAACTATTTTATTTTAATAATTACTCTATAATTATTTTTAATAAGGTTTATTTTAGTGAGATGATACATATATCACCCAAGTAGCAAAATAAATAAATAAACCTTGCAACGTGATTTCTGATTTTTCTTCTTCTTGATTTTAACAGTTTAGGGACATCCTTTTGGTTCCAAGAGAGTGGAAAAAGTGGAATTTACAAAAGATTGATTGCTGGTATTTCACATAATAATAATAATAATAATAATAATAATAATAATAATAATAATAATAATAATAATAATAATAATAATAATAAGCTATGAGATGCACATAACAGTGTTGTTGTAGATGTATTTTTCTTTCTCCAAAATATCTCCAATTAGTTGGAAGTGAGCAAAAAAGATAAGCTGTATTTCATATACTTAAAGAGATAATGTTGACAAACGGGAATTTTTTCCGCATAGATATATATATTTATTCAATAAATTGAAATATATATATATATATATATATATATATTTTATTGATTTGAAGTTGATAAAACCATCTATTCAGATCCATCTGAGGAATGAAGAAACCACTTTTAATGCTAAAAGTAAAATGAAAAGAAAAATGTTGAGGTGATGTTTTCCCTGCTTTTCTCCGATTTTTTCCCCTTCTAGTATTCACTCATTTTTTCACATGGTAAAACAATAACATAAACTGTAATAGGGGGAAATGAAAAATATCAAAGAAAGTCAACCCAACAAAAAAATTATTATTACTGAAACATTAAACATTAATAACTAAATTCTAGCATTGTGCAAGTCTTATCTGCAAAAGTAGAAGTGCTATCTGCAATTTAATTTCTTTTGGCAAGTTCCAATTTTCATACCATAAACATTACCACATAATTCTAGGACTCAATTCCTTGGTTAAGAAGTACAATCATAAATTGCTAACTCAAAGCATATTGTAAAATTCTGTATCTTCAATGAGGGAATATGCTGAAGATTAGGTAGAATATTATTAAATTCATCATCAAATTAGATGTTAAAGAAACATAGTATGGCAATGAATAAGTTGATGATCATTCTACTCCCCATTTCTTCTGAGTATTTTACTAGGGAAAGTCACAGACTTGGAACTTGCCATGCAGAAGCCATCATCACTGGCCTTCCTTTCCACCCAAGTAGAAGGTTTCCCTTCTCACTAGACAAAGTATATCCATCACAGTCATAAACAGAAAGCATCATTCTAGCTTGACTTGTGCACTTGAGTGGCATTACCTGAAACCCTGCTCGGCCTAATTGCCTTCTCCATTGGTCCACCCTTTCATGTCTTTCTGTTCTATCTGGACCCTCATATGCTACAATGTTACGAATTTCCTCTGCAAAGTGCAATCTCTCTATTTTCATCCTGTGTTGGCTATTTCTTAGCATGCTTGCCTCAAGAGAATCAAATATTGCTGAGTAATAGTGCAGTGATTCCAAGAATCTCCCAAGGAAAAAAGGGCCATTATGGTTTGTGTCTTGCTCTACAACTGTGAGTGCAGTTGGACCTAACCTCTTTATTGATAGGAGAATTTCCTTGAGGTAGCCTCTACTTTCTTTGACATATTTGTGCAACTGCAAGATGCTGTTGACAAATAAAGCTTCACCTTTTCTCAAGTTCAGATTCTCCATAGTAAGAAGAGATGGAGATGCAGGCTCAGAAATCATGTGGAATTCAAGATGCATTCCTAATGAGGTTGCTTCTTCCACAAGCACATTCATGCTAGATTGAAGCTTTGGACTGTCTTCATTGCTGGTCAATCCGGTGATCCGGAGTGTTGGAGGGCCCTCAGTCCTTGAAGCTAGTGCCCTTATTAGGGAAGACCACTGAAGGGTATGCTCCATTGCTAAGTCAACAATGTGTATTGAGCACTTTCCTTGTGATGCTTGGCATATGGCTTCATTTGCAGCCATGAAGCCAAAGGCAATGTAAGGTGTGTTTTGGTAAAGAAGCTGAAAAGCTTCCAGCTTATTCTCCCTTGTGATCAAAGGCACATCCATAGCAGCACCGTTTGCAATGACATTGTGAGGAAGAACTGATGATAATCTACACTTCAACCCTGTTGCAAAGTAGTAGGAGACTCGCTGCAACGAGTCTCCTTGAGGGCTTGCCAAACCCCAAACTCTACTTAGCAGAAACTCTGCCTGCTGGTTGTCTCTGCACCCCACAGCTTCAGCACAGGCTAGTAGCGCGTGAACCAAATCTAGTCCTTGGTCCACGTCAAGGCTAGCCTGTGCTGCACAAGGCACAAACTCAGGTATAGTAGTACCAAAAGGGCCACACATTTGAACTTTTTCCTCCAAAATGGTTGTTGTGAGATCTTCATAGATCTCTAACTCTGAATCCTCCATGGTGGTTGGAACATATCCAAAGACACCATTCACCATGGAGTATGCATCAGCATCAGCATCATCTTTTGCCAGATCAAAACTTTGATGCTTCTCTCCTTGACCTTCATTCTCGTATCCGTACTGATCCATGTTGATGAAGCTATCAACGAAGTCATCAACCTCTGATGAAGCCAAACAAGGAGTGCTGCTGGTTGCATCAGAAGAACATAGTTCAGTGTCATAGAAAACTAATGCCTCTTGATCTTGGCACTCTCCTCCTTGCTCTTGCTCCATTCTTGCAGGGCAGTACCTTCGAATGGCAAAATCATGGTTAACACTTTCATTCACATAGAAAGATAGCCACCTGTTTATGCCTTCCATTGTTACTTGAGCTTCTTGAAGCCTTGTAGAAAAGAATGAGAAGAATAAAGGGATTTATGACCCTAGTCACTATTTGCATATAAGACACTCAATTAGCCTTTTTTAAAAGAGACAGCATACTCTTTTTATTTTAATGCTTCAAAATAAACTCAGCAATGGTATTATGGAAGAATAATACCTGGATTCTCTTAGTCTGGGAGTAAAACTTGATTGTATATATATAGTTTATAATTTAATATGCTTAACATAGTATTTTAAAAAGAAATTTAAGAATTGCCAGTTCAGCAAGACCATGCAACTATTTTTGCCTTAGTTTATAGTTTTGCGTTTGTTGAAAGTTCATTCTGCTATGGATCGATTTTTGGTTGGTTGTCATCTATAAGAGGAATCTATCAATTGAGAGGTTTTGCCGCACTGAACCACACAATGTACAACTCTTTCATCGGAAAGGGACAATTCTTTTAAAAACTATAAAATTTGTCAATTGCTTTCCCTAACAATAAACAAACACGGCTTAAGAAAATTAAAAAAGAAAGCTTTAATGGAAAAAAATTAGGGATTTTTTTTTTCGATCATGTTTGTAAAATATATATTTTTTAAAGTTATCATTCTAAAATTTAAAATTACTAATTTTTGTGTCTAACATTCATTTTAAGGTAGATAAATAAAATTTATTTCAAATATTTATATAAATTTTTTGAAATGTGACTTACTAATATGATATATCATAGAAAGTTGTAAATATCACTTATGATGATCATTTAATTTCTTTACAAACATGTAAGTAATTAACAAGAATTACAAAAAGCAAGGATTATAAACAATAATTCTAATTTTAGAGGCTAAAATCAAAAATAAGATAAAATTGAAGGACTAAAATAAAAATTTATCTATTTTACAAGGACTAAAAATTAATCTACTCTATATATATATATATATATATAGAGAGAGAGAGAGAGAGAGAATGGTTCAAACGACACCGGTGTAACTTAACTTTATATTAAATGTGAATTTTGAAAATTCAACCGTTAGATTGAAAGTTTATATCTCTTAGATCATACATATCAAATTTTATATTAATCTAAGATGATTTGATACTTCATTCTCATAAAACAAAATTGACGTAATATATACATTTCAAAATGTACTAAAATATGAACACTTTGATTACCTTCAAGTTGTTGTTCAATTTTAACAAAATTTGACATATATGATCTAAGAGATATGAACTTTCAATATAACGGTTGGATTTTTAAAATTCACATTTAATATAAAGTTATTAAGCGGTGTAACACTTAGTAAAAGTTACACCGGTAATATGTTAGTATGTTACGTACACCATATATATATATATATATATATATATATATATATACACATGTGTGTGTGTAGGGTGTCAAGATCTTGATATTATATAGTGTCAAAATAACGAAATGACACTTTCAATAATTTTGTATAGAATGTAAATTTAATCAATTCAATCGTTTTATTTGATAATGTTGCCATCATAATTAGACATATTAAATTTCAAATTATTTGAAGTCTCCTAGATATGTTATATAACAATAAATATTTACATTTTTCAATATTATTCTATATGTTAAAATAAATTATTATGGTGGATAAAAAAAATTATGTTGAATTTACTTTCTAAAAAAAAATTATTGAATATTTTATTTCACTAATTTGATATTATAGTGCTAACAAATTTAACCGTGTAAAAGGACGAGTTATTGATAAGAAAATTATTAATAACTTTTATAAAAAAAATTACTACTCACTCATCCTCTTATTATTTCTAATGCAATTTTACCGCTATTATATATATATATATATATATATATATATATAATGTTTGCTTTTGCATACCAAAAACATTTAGAGGAAGATAACACCTTAGTTCAATAAAGTCCTCCACTTGCAGAGGAACTTACCATATCCCTAGTGTCTTATTCTATTCGATCGTGTTCCCATTATCGTAGATACGAGATTTTTCATCTATTGTCTACGTAAGATTATATATGTAGTAAATGATATGTATAAATATGGTTAATTTTATTTTATAAGTAATTTATAGTAAATAAGTATAATTATATATAATTACTAATATTGAAATGTCATTAAGTTATTCAAATGTTTCATAGTGGTTGTTTTGCCTCACAAGCGGTTGATTTTTCATATTATTGACCAACACATGTGATTAAATCTACATGTAAATATGGTTAATTTCACCTCAATAATGGTTTAAAAAAAATAAATGTCATTATATACTATTATCAATGTGGTTAAAAGTAGCATGAGATGATTGAAATGTTTAATAGTGATAAAATTTACCTCAAATGATTAAAAGTGTATGAAATTATTAAATGTCTAATAATAGTTAATATATGTTTTCTTACACGTGGTTAATATTATTACATTTATAATTATAAATAATCACATTCATTACTATTAACAATATATGACACAAAATTAACCACATTTATAAAAGTAGTTAACCATGCGTTCGAGTGGGTGAACATATCTCTAAGTAAGACGTTGAACTATTCCCCATGCGACCAATTTTGTGGAGTTACAAATTGTGTTAATTTTCTAACTTGTATCATAAGAATTATAAGTAATTTTTTAAACTCATCGCTCCTTATTAATTACCTAGACCCTCAAACATTAGTTTAATATCTTTGTTGAAGAAATTAAAAAGTGTCAAAGAGTCACTTTTTTTTTTTTTTTTTTTTTTATCCATAGGATAATTACATGAAGAAACAAATTTGTAGTAACCTAACATTAACACAAACCACTTCCCAAAAAAAAAAAAAAAAAAAAAAAGACACAACCATAGTACTTGTCAATGCCATAAATATTTGAAAACAGTTGTGAATCATTTATCAACCACCTAACACAATCTTCGATCTTTCAATAGGTACTTGAAATCGATCATGCAATGATCTTGTAACGTAGCATGGCATAGAGTTTAACAAGGGAATTTATAGCAAATGTAAGAAATTGGGTCCCAGCTTCCACAACTCCATTTAAGACTCCATCTTTCAACAACGTGTTCCAGCAGTGTCAATGCCAGTACTCCTATGATGAGTTATTGCTCGTGTCCAGGGGAAGCAGAAAGTTGTTGTCTACCCATGAGCTTGATTGGGAAAAAAAGGTTTAATGATAATTTGCAAAGAGGTAGTTCATGCTACAAGTAGCCATAATAAAACCGTAAAGGAAGTTGAGTTTCAAAATCGAGTTTCAAGCTTTATTCAAAAACGATGGAAGAAATATTGTGCATGCATGTGACGGTTGGTGTGAAAATAAGGTCTTAAATTTTATTCTTATGAATTCTTTAATATTAAATTTAATTTTGATAGATTAAAAAAAATCAAATTTTACTAAGAAACAATATAATGAAATTAATCAAAGGAACAAAATGTTTAAGTAAACGAAAACATTTTGTATTGACCCATAATCTTATTAAATATATACTTAATTAAGTTATTTATCTAAATTCATCTATCACATAGTTTACATTCACTTGTGTTAGATACAGTCAAATTTCTCACATTATTAGAATAATAGGAGGAACATGGGTTTATATGATACAAAATGTCTCCATAGGTGAAAAATCTTTTAAGTAATGATCAAAAGTAAAATTATAAGATTCAGGTTTAAAATCGATAATATCATATTAATATAGAGATATGTTTGTAAATTCTTGATACACAATAAATAGTATTAGAGTTGATTGTTCATCACGTGACTAGTTCAAACGAGTATTAATGACATAGAATTCCTATTGTATTGAAAACTTTTTAATAGTAGATCTATATATGAAGAGTCTTTATAGTAAAATAGAAGTTAAGGAATGTATCCTGTTATCGTGAACTAAGAGTGGAACAACAAGTACCTAGAACATGATTATGCTCTATAGATCATCATTAGTTATTAAAATTTCACGTTGTTAGAACAAGAAGAACAAAATAAATTTATATTATATAAATGTCTCCATTAGTAAGAAAGTGATGATTAAAAACAAATTAATGGTATTAAGACCCAAAGTGTGAACCCCGGTGCAGAAACAATTTGGAAGAAAAAAGTTTAAAATGTATCTTCTAGCATGTAATAGTCCATCGGAAGAAACCAAAACATTTACCTAATTGTTTATTTATTTTTGCATTTCTCGTGCATGTTAAGGCAGAGTGAGTAACTAAATTTAATTTCTATATTTAGTTATAAAATCTTAATAAGACTCTTTTTTATATTATTACATGTGAAGCCTTCACCATGGAACATCTAATTATCAAGATGTAGCTCCATTACTACTTTACCCGTTTATTGTAGGAAGTATTACATAGCCTCCGGCAATGACGGATCCAGAGTGGAGGTATTTATCCTCATTATTATTTCACACATACATATTTTCTTTTATTAAATATAAATTTAGAAAAAATGTTTATTTATTTGATATTTTTCAAATTTTTAAAAAAAGATTAATTCTCTTATGTAATAAAGAATACTCATTAATAACGAATCAATTTTTTTAAAAAGTTTAATTATAATATATATATATGTATATATATTAATATTCACATATAATGTAATATATTAAAAAATTAATTTTTGATAAAATAAAATTTGTGGTATACATGTTTATCTTTTGTGTTTTTTATTTATTGTATACGTTGATTGAAAAAAGTCAAAATAAGAAAATCGGAAGATTTATGTTTCATTTAAAATTGTTATTATAAAATATATTTTAAAATAAATTATCATCTAAAAATATATATTAGATATTAAAAACATGTTTATATCATAAATAAATTAAACTTGATTTTTATAAAATTTAACATATTTATTTTTATATTTTTAATAGTATTAAATTATTATAAAGTAGGTCTTTAGGATTGTAGTTCTAACCAAATACTTTAAAAAAGGTCTATGATAGATAAATAAGTTATATATAGGATATATATTTTTTAAAGAAAGTTAGGTTCAAACTTATTAAATTATAATAAAATATAATCTGACCTAATTTATTTTTATTTTTAATTATAATCGTAGATATAAAAATTTGTAAAAAGTAATTATAATATATACTTATATTTTTAAAAATTATATATAAAACTTTTAATACTATAAATATATAAATAAGTATTATTCTTAT